CAGACAAGAGAGTGGGGCTTGTGACGGCATGTCTCAGAGCCCCACTCTCAACCGGCGGCCACGTGCACCTCGCTCGGCAAATGCACCTTCCGGGTGCGGAGGCCAGAGAAAACATTGTCACTGGTCACAAAGCCAAGCTCTCAGGAAACAGAACAAGACGGAAGGAAAAACCTCATCCGGTTTTTGCAGAGGGGACGAGAGCAAAGTTTGTCTAAATAGACGCGGGTCTGGTGGGAAGGGTAAAGCTCCCCGTTTGAGAGGCCAGCCCAGCAGCAAGCTTACCCAGGGCTGTGCCTGCTGCCCGGCCGCACGCCTCTCCTGCCTTATGACAAAAGACACAGACAAAGGAAAGTAAGGACCTTCTCTGGCAGGAAAGGATCAACAACACCAAGAGTACTCGTTACCAAATGCCAAAGTCTCTAAAGTCCAAGAAACTAGTTTCACAAATATTTTCTCCTGCTAATCTAAATTTAGAGAGAGAAAAAGCAGCTCTTACCACTTTTGTTCCCTTTGGACTCTGCAGACAGAGCTCTGGGAGGCTGATATGGTAAGAAGGCTTACCTCTTTGCCAGCGAGTTGTTGAGAACACAATCCCATTTACAATTGCAACAAAAAGAATAAAATATCTAGGAATAAATTTAACCAAGGAAGTGAAAGACCCATACACTGAAAACTGTAAGACGTTATTGAAAGAAACTGAAGAAGACATAAAGAAACAGAAAGATAGTCCATGCTCATGGATTGGGAGAATAAACATAGTTAAGATGTCCATACTACCTAAAGCAATCTAGAGATTCAATGCTATCCCAATCAGAATCCCAATGACATTCTTCATGGAAATAGAACAAAGAACCGTAAAATTTATATGGAACAACAAAAGACCCTGAATAGCCAAAGCAATCCTGAGAAACAAGAACGAAGCTGGAGATATGACGATCCCTGATTTCAAACTATACTGCAAAGCTATAGTAATCAAAACAGCACAGTACTGTCACAAAAACAACACAGATCAATGGGACAGAATTGAAAGGCCAGAAGTAAAACCACACATCTATGGACAGCTGATCTTCAACAAAGGAGCCAAGAATATACAATGGAGAAAGGAAAGTCTCTTCACTAAACGGTGTTGGGAAGACTGGACAGCCATACGCCAGAGAAACAAAGTAGACCATTACCTTACACCATTCACAAAAATTAACTCAAAATGGATTAAACACTTGAATGTAAAACCTGAAAACATAAAACTCCTAGAAGAAAATAGAGGCGGTACGCTCTTTGACATCAGTCTTAGAAGGATCTTTTCAAACACCATGTCTACTCAGGCAAGAGAAACAAAAGGAAAAAAAAGACAAATGGGACTTCACTAGACTAAAGAGCTTCTGCAAGGCAAAGGAAACCATGAACAAAAAGAAATGACAACCCATCAACTGGGAGAGAATATTTGCAAATCATATCTCCAACAAGGGGCTAATTTCCAACATATATAAAGAACTCATACAACTCAACAACAAAAAGACAAACAACTCAATCAAAAAGTAGGCAGAGGATATGAACAGACATTTTTCCAAGGAGAACATACAGATGGCCCACAGGCCCATGAAAAGAGGTTCAACATCACTAATTATTAGGAAAATGCAAATCAAAACTACAGTGAGATATTGCCTTACACCTGTCAGAATGGCTACAATTAACAAGATGAAAAATAACAAATGTTGGAGAGGATGTGGACAAAAGGGAACCCTCATACACTGCTGGTGGGAATGCAAACTGGTATAGCCACTATGGAAAACAGTATGGAGATTTCTTTAAAAATTAAAAATAGAAATACCATACGATCCAGCTATGCCACTACTGGGTATTTATCCAAAGAACATGAAATCAACAATTCAAAGAGACTTGTGCACCCCTATGTTCATTGCAGCATTACTCACAATAGCCAACATGTGGAAGCAACCCAAGTGCCCTTCTACAGAAGAATGGATAAAGAAGATGTGGCCTATATATACAATGGAATACTACGTAGCTATAAAAAAAGGACAAAATTATTCCATTTGCAACAACATGGATGGACCTTGAGGGTATTACATTAAGCGAAATAAGCAAGACAGAGAAGGACCAACACGAGATGATTTCACGCATATGTGGAAGATAAACAAACACACAGATAGAGAAGAGACCTGTGGGGCCAGCCTGGTGGCCAAGTGGTTAAGTTCAAGCACTCTGCTTCAGCGACCTGGGGTTTCGCTGGTTCGGACCCTGGGTGCAGACACGGCACCTCTTGTCAGGCCAGGCTGAGGCGGCATCCCACATAGCACAACCAGAAGCACTCACAACTAGAATACACAACTATGTACTGGGGGGCTTTGGGGAGAAGAAGGAAGATTAAAAAAAAAGATTAAAAAAAAAAGAGAAGAGACCTGTGGTTACCAGAGAGGAAAGAGGTTAGGGGGTGGGTGAAAGGGGTAAAGGGGTGCACATGTACAGTGACAGAAAAAAATTAGACTATTGGTTGTGAGCACAATGCAGTCTGTATAGAAACTGATATATGATAATGCACACCTGGAGGCTGGCCCGGTGGCGCAGTGGTTAACTGTGCACGTTCCACTTCGGCGGCCCGGGGTTCGCCAGTTCAGATCCTGGGTGCAGAGGTTGCACCACTCGGCAAGCCACGCTGTGGTAGGTGTCCCATATACAAAGTAGAGGAAGATGGGCACAGATGTTAGCTCAGGGCCAGTCTTCCTCAGCGAAAAGAGGAGGATTGGCAGTGGTTAGCTCAGGGCTGATCTTCCTCAAAAAAAAAAAAATTAGACTTTTGGGGTGAGCATGATGCAGTCTATACAGAAACTGATGTATGATAATGTACACCTGAAATTACACAATGTTATAAACCAATACAACCTCAATAAAATAACTGAAAAAATAAATAAAAAAAGGAAATCCTGCCATTTGCAACAATATGGAATAACCTGGAGGGCATTATGCTAGGTGAAATAAGCCAGACAGAGAAAGACAAATATTGCATGGTATCACTAATATGTCATTTTTTTTAAAAAAAGTTGAACTCATAGAAACAGAGTAGAATGGTGATTGCCTGGGGCTGGGGGAAATAGGGAGAGGCTGAGGAAAGGGGGGAAACTTACAGTTACAAGATGAATAAGGTCTGAGAATAATAATCCTGCATTGCATAACTGAAATTGGATAAGAGTGTAGAATTTGTGTTCTTACCAAAAAAAAGTAATTATGTGAGGTGACGCATGTGCTAATTAATTCCATGAGGAGAATTAAAAGAAAAAAAAAAGATGGCTCACTCACATGACTAGCAAATTACACTGGTGGTTGTTAGGAGGCCTCAGTTCCTCCCCAGGTAAACCCCTGCATAGGGACATTGAGTATCCTCACAACATGGCGGCCGGCTTCCCCCAGAGCGAGTGATTGGAGAGAAAGCGAGGTGGACACTGCAATGTCTTATGTGGCCCAGCCGCACAGCAGTACACCACCATCTCAGCCAGACCCTATCCATAAGCCTTACTCAGTGTGGGAGAGGCCTACACACAAGGGCGTGGATACCCCAAGGCGGGAATCCTGGGAGGAAATCTTGGAGGCCAGCTTCTAGTTCCTAGTGTTAGTTTGAGGGTTCCAAAATAATTCTTTTCTGGATCCTTCGTATGTGATTTGCTCTGTTTTCTCTCTGCTTCCCGATCTCTCTCTCTCTCAAAGTTTGTAGAATGTGTTTTTTTCTCTCCAGCGTTTTGAAATATCATGTGTAAAGTTCTGTTTTCATCTACTGTTCTGGGCACTTGGAGGACACTTTGAATTAGTAAACTTATGTTCTCTTCAGTTTTGGGAAATTTCCTTGCATTTTTTAATTTATCATTTCCTCTCCTCTGTTTTCTTTGTTATCTTTTTCTGGAATTCGTGTTATTCAATCTTCAACATAATTTTTTTATTTTACTATTTTTCATTTCTTTTTTATTATATTTTCTGGAAGATTTCTCCAATCTTATCTTCCAAATATTTTATTGAGTTTTTAAATTTCTATACTTTTTATTTCCCAAAACTATTTTTTGTCCTCTGAATGCTCTTTTTAAATAGCATCCTCTTCTTGCCTTTCTTTTTCCTCTAGAGATATTAAGAGTGTTTCGGTTTGGTTTCAGGCATCGTCTTCTCCCTGCTTTGTTTCTGTCTTCTTTAGTTGGTTAGCTGATTTTTTTGCTCTTTATCTCTTATGCTCCATGTTTTCCTTGAACGTTCTGCTCATATGTAAGAGTGGGACTAAGAAGCTAATTGGAAGCTCTGAGCACATGGCGGGGGCTTGTCCCCGACCTTCACAGCGGATGATGTGGCTGAGCCATTTGCTCATAGAACCTTCAAAGTCGGTATCTTTAGGTCTTTCCTCCTGGGCTGGTCACACTTCTCAGAAAAGAGGGAGAAGACTGGGTGGCTGCCAGATTCTTGGTGCTGAGCCAGGGAGGCTGGGGCTCTCAACATCCATCCGTCTGCTTGGCACTCGTTTTCTCTCTGCCCCTCCCACGCTCAGCTGGGCCTGGGACCCTCCATGGTCTCCTTCCAAAAATAAGTCTCCAAGTTTCTACTGGGGTCGGGGGATGGGAGACAGGGATTGGCTAGTTTCTTAAGGCTTCCAGAAGGACTTGGTGCCACCAATTCCCGAGTCGATTCCTGATTCCACTGCCAACTTAGAGTTGCTTCCTGGAGAGATACTTCCACCTGTCCATGTGTTTTTCCAGCTTCCAAAAAGTTGATGCTGCCTCCTCTCCCATATTCCCATCCCTGTGGACTGGGATTTTCAAAACTTCCCTTTTCTCTCTTATAGTAGTGTTTCGGGAGGGAGCAGGAGAAGTTGCACATGTGCGCCCTCCCATCTCTAGGAGGGATGGTTGTCGAGATCATTGTCAGGGAGTCCCTGGCCAACTTGAGAGGTCACACACTGAGGAGGAAACACAGAGGTTAAGGGTGAGGGACAGAGCCAGGATTGTTGCCAGCCCTGGCTGTCATCCGGGTCCAGCTCCTGGTTCCTGGAGCATCCTGCCCTCCCCGCCAGGAAGTCTGGGCCGCCAGGAGTCATGGGGTCGATTCCCAGAATCCCAGGGTCCGGGAGGCCAGGGCAGGGCCAGGAGTTGGACAAACAGCTCAAAGGTGAGCCAGCGTGGGGCTCTGGACTAGGCCTGGCCAGCCGGACGGGGCACCATGAGGTGAGTGGGAGCCCCCACAGGCGCCTGCAGGAGTGAGGGAGGAGATCAGGCCCCTCTGGACCCTCACTGCTCCCCACGCTGCCCCCAGGCTGCTGATCTTCCTGGGGCTGCTGTGGGGCTCAGCGGCCGGCGCCCCGGGCCTGCAGTGGCCCAAGCCCGTGTTCGGGCGCCTGGCATCCCCCGGCTTCCCCGGGGAGTACGCCAACAACCAGGAGCGGCACTGGACGCTGACCGCACCCCCCGGCTACCGCCTGCGCCTCTACTTCACCCACTTCCACCTGGAGCTCTCCTACCTCTGCGAGTACGACTTTGTCAAGGTGCCCGCAGGGCCGGGGGTCCTGGACACTCTTGTGGGCTGGGAGGGGGGCTCCCCAAGGACAGGCCGGGGCTGAGGGACAGGGACACCTGGGAGCAGAGTCTGGCCTCAGAGGGAGGGAGGGCAGGGCTTGGGCCTTGTTGTCCCTCCCTGTGACCCTGAATCCCACAGCTGAGCTCAGGAACCAAGGTGCTGGCCACACTGTGCGGCTGGGAGAGCACAGACACGGAGCTGGCGCCCGGCAACGACACCTTCTACTCGCCGGGCTCCAGCCTGGACGTCACCTTCCACTCCGACTACTCCAACGAGAAGCCGTTCACAGGCTTTGAGGCCTTCTACGCAGCAGAGGGTGAGCCAAGAGGAGGCCGAGTGCTGGGGCTGATGGTCCATCCGCATTGGGGCAGTAACCCTGTGCTACGCCAGGCCAGCCTCCCTTTAGTCTCCCCACCTCCGAGCCCGGATTCCTGCCAAACCAGCAGGAAAGTCCACACCTCGGTCCAACATCTTCCACACTGCAAATATCAATAACAGCCATGACCTCCACTCATGGACTCAGCCCCGATTCTGTGCCAGGTGCCGAGCCAGGGACATCCTCACAGCCCACCCCACCCCCCAACCCCTGTGATGCAAGGGCCGAGTGAGCCCATTTACACATGGGAAAGCGGAGGGCCGCCAGTCTGAGTGCTGCTGAGAATGCACAGAGCATGGCGTGCTGTATGTGCATGTGGGCTTCAAGTCTGACACGATTTCAGATTCTGGCTCCTGCAGGGACCAGCTGTGTGACCTTGAGAAAGCGCCTCAAACATTCTGCGCTCCTCAGGAGGCGGCTGCAAGGGTTCATTGGAGCTTGAGTAGCAGACCCGCCTGCGGGGTTCAGCTGCTGGCTGCTCCCTTCACTAGCTGTCCTCGTTGGTGCAAAAAGGTGGTATTTACCTCTCCCTCCAAGTGTTGCGGGGAGGCTGCAATGACCCCAGGCTCCAGTGCTTGGCCGGCACCAACCACCTTGGGACATGAGGCGGCTCCTCTCACATCAGCCATGAGGCTGAAGATCTGAATCTGAGCCCAGGCCCTGAGAGCTGTCCCATTTTCTCTCCTGCTGACCGCCTGCCTGGCCCGCCTCTCCCCTAGACATCGACGAGTGCCAGGTGCCCCCAGGAGAGGCGCCCCCCTGCGACCACCACTGCCACAACCACCTGGGTGGCTTCTACTGCTCCTGCCGAGTGGGCTACGTGCTCCACCAGAACAAGCGCACCTGCTCAGGTGAGCCACCCCGGGGCAGAACGAAGGGAGGACCACACCCGGCGCGCGGCCCAGCCCCCACCCGCCCCAGGATACAGTCGGCAGGATACAGTTGGTTCCTCCAGGCCGTAGCTGCTCTGGAGGGACCACTGGGCTTGGCCCACTAGCCACTTCTCCTAGGCAGGGGCAGCCCCTTCTCTGATAATCTGTCCCCTCCTGCCATCCATTCATCTGATCACATCCTTTAACTCCTCCCCCACCTCCTTCCATCCTTGACTCACTCTCATCCCTCTTCAGCTCATTCACTTGATTAGCATGCCTCAGGCCCCCCTCTGTGTACCTGGCCCGTCTGGGCTCTGCGAACCCTACCCCAATACAGCCACCTCGCCCTCCGTGGGCAGCTCCCAGGGGAAGGAGTGGGGCACCTAGGCCTGGCTCACACAAGCTTCTCCCCCAAACTTCAGGGTGGGAGGCAGGGCCTGCTCACAGGCACCGGTTCCTGGCCCCCAGCAGGCCGATCCCTTTGGGCTCTAATGCCTGGCGCCTGGACAGGAAATCAGCTGGTGCCCTTGGGCGTGGGGAGCCCTGACCTGCTGGCGCTGACCCTGCCTCCCCTGCTCGGCATCTCCCCCATGTCTCTCCCTGTCTCTCTGTTCTCTCTTCCAGAACAGAGACTCTAGCCACCCGTCTGGCTCCGGCCTGCCAAGCGGGTCGAGGCCAGAGCAAGGCCCACTGGCTGCAGCTCTGGGTCGGGCCGACATTGCTGCTGCCATCAGCCCCCCATTCACCCCACCATGGACCTAACAATAAATCTGGCTCCACTCCACCTGCTGCTGCTGCGTGTCTCTGGGGTGGAAGGGTGGAGGAGGGTGGCAGTGTGCACCCTGGCCTCTCCTTACTCTCATCGTAGTCTGGATGAGCCCTGGTGGGTGGCAGCTCCCTCCACAGGGCCACAGGCTCCTTTGCCAGAAGGGCTTGCTCTGGGCCCTCCATTTTGAAGAGGCCCAGATAGGGGTGGGGGCTGGCCTGAGTTCACACAGGGAAACAGAGCTCTCTCTACTCCCCCACTGGGTCCCCGTGGGCTGAGCTCAGAGCATCCTTGGACCACCTCTTGTCCAGAGGGCAACTCAGGCCCCGCATGTGCTGGGCCGGGGGAGCCTGAGCCAGAGCAGAGAGGCCCAGGGAGATAGTCATCAATGGACAGTCTGGTCCCCACATCCAGGGGCAATTCCCTCTGCCCCATGGGGAGCAGCCCATGGAGGAAGGAGGGCAGCGTTGGGACTCTTCATTTCCTAGAAGCCTCTCAGCTCATGTCTGCATCCCTCTCCATGGCCGGGGGGCAATGGGGGCAGACCCCTCCCACAAATGACATTCTCTCTGCAAGGGCAGAATTAGCTGTTCCAGTGAGGAAAGAGGGCCCCAGACTGGCTTATGATCAGTGTGGGCTTGAACTTCTCTCAGCTGCCCCCAGGGCAGAGCCCAGACTCAGGGAAGGTGGGCATGGGGAGGCCCTTCCTGACCTCCTGACTGTTCCAGGTGGGGACCCAGGGGAGGCTGGACTGGCCTGAGCTGGGTGCAGGTGGGAGTCCCCTGGTGGACGAACTTGGGAGTGGCCTGGTTCAGGGGGCAGGGTGAGGGGCCCCCCCAATTCCTGAGGAACAAGGAGAGTCCCCTTCCCTTCTCTTGGTGCCTCCTGCCCGCTGAGAGAGGCTGACCTCACCCACTTGCCTAACCCCTGGGGTTGTGACTCTGGCCCAGGACTCCCCCCACCAGGAGCCTCAGCTTAGGGCCCCACCCTCTCTGGGGGTGTGAGGCGGGGCCCCTGGAGAACACATATCTGAGTGCCACCCGTTTCAGCTAAAGCCAGAGAAACCCCTTCCTTAATTGTCCCTTCAGCTCCTGGGGCGGTGGTGCGGTTTGGTCTCCAGAGGTGCCCCTGGCCCTGGCCGTGTGCAGGCTGGACAGGCAGGGCTGGGTTATGCTGCCTGCGCCCAGCTCATGCCACCCTGTCCTCTCCCCTCTTCCCAGCCCTCTGCTTGGGCCAGGTCTTCACCGACCGGTCTGGGGTGATCAGCAGCCCTGAATACCCACAGCCGTACCCCAAACTCTCCAGTTGCACCTACAGCATCCACCTGGAGGAGGGGTTCAGTATCATCCTCAACTTCGTGGAGTCCTTCAACGTGGAGATGCACCCCGAAATCCAGTGCCCCTACGACTCCCTCAAGGTCTGGTTCCCATCACCCCCACCTCATCCCGGCTCCTGCAGGTCCTGAGGTGACAGGGACCTCTCCGCTTTCAGATTCAGACAGACAAAGCGGAGTACGGCCCATTTTGTGGGGACACATTGCCTGGCAGGATTGAAACGAAGAGCAACATCGTGACCATCACCTTTGTTACCGACCAGTCGGGGGACCACGCAGGCTGGAAGATCCACTACAGCAGCACAGGTGAGGGCAGGTGGGTCTCGGTGCCCAGCAGGAAGCTCTTCCAGAAGCGTCAAGGAGCTACATACGATGGAACTCTTCCTTGCCAGGCCTGGGAAGCACAGGGGAGGAAAAAGTTTTCCTTGATCCTTTTAGGGTCCCTGGCTGGGTCTGAAAAGTCAACTGACAAAGACACAGTAATAGGAGAAAAGCATCCACGTTTAGTTCATGTCAGTTTTCCATGGCACGGGAAGTGAAGGTTTGATGACGAGTGCGTGGTCGTGGAGGAATATGATAGGTTAGGGGTGTGAGGTCAGCAGTAAACTGAGGGAAGCTTAGCAAGGACTGTGTGTTCAGTCTTCCGGGAGTCACTTTGTCTGTGGAAATAAAGCTTCTCTCTGGGTACAGGGAGTGCAACTCCCAAGTGAGGGTCTTATGACCTGCTTCAGGGAAGAAGTGGGTAGGGGGGACAGTCAGAGTGACCTTCCTGCTTCCACCATTTTCTCAGACTCCCTCAGCTTAAAATACTCAATATGCCAAAGTGCCGTATTTTGGGGTAGTGTGTCCTGAAACCCATCAGAAGACAGACCAGGTTTGAGTGGGAGGCAATGGTCCTGTCGACGCAAAAGAACCAATGACCGTTCCATAAGCAAGAGAAATAAGATGAGTTTATTTGAGCCAGAGTGAGGATCATAACCCGGGAAGACCCTAGAAAGCGTTCCAGAGGCATGGGTTTCAGTGCAGTCTTCTACCTTTTTAGAACAAAGAACACATTAAACACACCCAGCATACATTTGGCCAAAATTTCAAAGAGGTATTTAGTTGCAAATCAGCAGGTCAACGTGACCCTGATGCTCTGAAAGGGGGCTAATAGGGCAGGGCGTTGGGGCGGAAGCATGCATTCTTATCTTAAGAGTGCGTTCTTTACTTTAATGGATAAGCAGATGTACAACGTGTGTTTAATAGGCCATAAGTCAGGCCTTTAGTTCAAGCCAAATCAGTTTTGAACTCAAATAATTACCCCATATACCTCAATATGTGGAAATCTCTTGTCAGTCCCCTAAGGGACCATCCACCCACCATCCATCCATCCATGCATCCTTCCTTCCACCTGTAGGAGAAAAAAATTAATTTTCCCTTTACCTGTGGCTGGGAACAAAAGACAGATTAACAAGAGAAAAACAAACAGAAGTTTATTAACATGTCTATCTCATGTGTACACAGGAGATAACCCAGGGGAAAATGAGGAAGTCTCAGAGGTGGTTTAGAATTCAGGCTTAAATATTATCTTCCGCTAAAGACAGAAGAGAGAAGGGTGTGTGGCGGGCTGGTTAAGGGGAGGTGACCAGGAAAACTATGGTAAACAGGAGTCAGGTTTGTTATGCAGATGGAAGACCCTGCCTTCTCCACTGAGGAGAGCTTCTAGAGATTTAATCATCCTTCTCCTGGTCCAGAGGAGACATTCTCACAAATGGAGATTTCCTTTGTAAATGTAAATTTCTCTTAGAAAACAACAACTTCTACTGTGTTTTCAGAGCTTCTCCTGTGTCTGCTCTTTCTCAAAATAATCCTTATGCCAAAGAGGCATATTTTGGAGTGCCATGTTCTACCACCCTTCACAAACATCCATTTGTCCGTCCTTCTCTCCCTTCCTTCCATCCATCCATCCTTCTCTCCATCCTTCTCTCCATCCACCCATCCATCCTACGGATGTGACCTGACCTTTTGTGGGGAATATGTAATGCAGAAGCCACAGTACCCACCACCATAGCCTCTGCCCCTCAGTCCAGTCTGGTCACAGCAACATAACCTCAGCCCTGACAAGCACAGCCAAGCACCAGGCATGGTGAGGGTCCAGAGGGAAGACCTGGCCCAGGCAGGGGCTGGGTGCCAGGGAAAGTATCCTAGGACTGGAAACACCTGAGATTGGATTGAAAGGCTAAGTAAGTGTTCAAGGAAGGTGGAAGGGCGTTCCAGGTGGAAGGGAAGAGTATGTGCAAAAGCCCAGAGGCTCCACGGTTGAGGGTGTGGCACTGTTGAGGGTGAGCTGGGGTGTGCAGGGATGGGGTCTCGATCACGGAGAGTTTGGAGTAGACCTACACTTCAGGGAGTCTGCAGCTGGGGCCTGTACTATGCCTCTCTCAACTGCCTCCACTGGCCCTGGCTCCGTCCTCTGGAGCCCAGGGGGTCTTCTGCCACCTCTTCCTCACGACAGACTTTCAAATGCTAGAAGGTGGTTCTCAGCCTGAAGCAGCCCATTGGCGCTACCTCCTTAAGACACAAGTTCAGGTCCCCCCACCTTCCAAGGCACTGACCTCTGGACATTGATGTGGGCTTGGCAAGCCAAGGAGTCAAAGGAAAGATTTCCTGGACTCTCAAGGTCTGGTAGTAGTGCTCCTTTACTCAGAGAATAGCATGGGGACAGGACCCATGGGCAGTAAGAGCTGCAAACATGGGTTGAGGGTTAGGGCTAAATTTATAAGGTATAGGTCTGTGGGTTATTTCTTTACAAGACAAAGGAAAGATCACGTAAAAAAGTCGTTAAAACAGTATCAGTGTACGTGGGGTCTGGCTATCAGGTGATCCTATAACTTTGGATACGAATCAGGTCTAATCAGGTCAGGATGTCCTATACTTCCCGGAGGATGACATAGATCGGCATGTACGACAAGATGCCTTGGCCACCTCTCCCTGGGGCAGCCTTGATCCTCATCAGACATGTCTGTGCCTCTCACCACTCTCAGCCAACAGATCTTTCAGGATGTTGGCATTGCAAAATAACCAACAACCATTCTATAGATACGATAAGAGAAGTAAGGTGAGTTTTACTTGAGCCAGGATGAGGATTATAACCCAGGAAGGCAGTTTCCAGAAAGGTAGAAAGCATTCCAGGAGAGGCATGGTTTTCAGTACAGTCGTAAACCTTCTTAGAACAAAGACCATACATTAAATAAGGTGAGGATACATATTCATCAAAGTTTTAAAGAGGTATTCAGTTGCAAATTAGCAGGTCAACATGACCCGGATGTCAGGAAAGGGACCTTCCAAACAGGGCGTAGGAGGGGAAGTATGCATTCTTATCTTAAGGGAGTGAACCTTTTTTTTTTTTTTTTAAAGATTGGCATCTGCACTAACATCTGTTGCCAATCGTTTTTTTCCTTCTTCTTCTCCCCAAAGCCCACCAGTACAGAGTTGCTTATTCTAGTTGTGAGTGCCTCTGCTTGTGCTATGTGAGACGCCACCTCAGCATGGCCTGATGAGCGGTGCCATGTCTGCCCCCGGGATCCGAACCAGGAAAACCCTGGGCTGCCGATGGAACATGAGGAGTTAACCACTTGGCCACGGGCCGGCTGTGGGAGTGCATTCTTTAACGGTGAAAGCAGATGTACAATGTATGTTCAATGGGCCATAAGTCAGGCTTCTTTAGTTCAAGCGGAATCCGTTTTGAACCTGAATAGTATGTGAAGATCTCTTGTCAGTGTTATTGGAAGAACAGAGTAACTGAGCTGGGGAGGCTGGAACTGGAGGTAGGGCCCTGGCTCAGGGCACAGGCTCTGGTGTCAGACTGCCTAGGTTTGTCTCCCGCTGTACCGCTTTCTGTTTCCCGGCTGTGACACTGAACCTCTCACATAACTGTTCTGTGCCTTAATGCCCCAATTATCCAATTAAGGACATCTCCTTGGAAGGGTGGGCTAATGCATGGAAGGCACTGGGCACAGGGCATGGCATGGAGCACGTAACTATTAGATTATAGGTATTAGAGTAATTTAAAAAACGAGAGCGGTGGGCCCGGTGGCGTGGTGGTTAGGTTCATGCACTCCACTTTGGCGGCCTGTGTTTACAGGTGCAGATCCAGATGTGAACCTAGCACCACTCATCAAGCCGTGCTGTGGCAGCATCCCGCATAAAATAGAGGAAGATGGGCACAGATGTTAGCTTAGCAACAATCTTCCTCAAGCAAAAAGAGGAAGATTAGCATCAGATGTTAGCTCAGGGCCAATCTTCCTCACAAAAAAATAAAAAATGAGAAATTGGACTAGAGAAGATTACTCCTTGGGCCACCCCTGTTGGAAGTGTGGGAAAGGGTGAGAGACTGAACAGGAGACACACCAGCCCTTTGGGAACATTTCATTTGCCTCCTGTTCATTTTTGAAAGCCTTTCATTTTCCTGTAGGTCGAAACAATAAAACTTTTAAGACTGAAGTGCTGGTTTCAGAGCAAGTCAGAGGGGAGAATGAGGTTTGCCAGCTGGTGGGTGAGAAGGGGCCAGGACAGAGCCTCCAGGTGCTTATGAAGGAAGGTGCCAGCAGGGCGCTGGCCTGGGTACCATGCAGCCTTGGGAGGCCCTGGGCTCCTACAGGGCCACCAGTGCTGTCCCTGGAGATTGGTTTCCTGAGGGGAGACTTTGGGGGCTGCCTGGGACTGAGAGCCACCCTAGGGCACAGAGATCAGGTGCGGGAGGAGAAGGGGACTCAGTAAATGGCAGGCACACGCTGAGGGGTACCTGGCTGTGCCCTCACGTGGGGGATGGGCTGAAGCCTTGCGGTGACAGCAGGCCAGGTTTGGCAGCCAAAGTGGAAGACAGTCTCCCCCGAGGCTGGAGCACCGTGGGTGTGTGCTCACAAGGGAAGGCACGAGGCTTCCTGAGCGCCAGTCTGGATCTGCGTCCCAGGTTTCTCCCGGTGGGAGGGTTCATTACAACTCACTCTTTCTGAGTGCCCAGCAAAGCACTAGCCCAGGTGCTTTACACTCCATCCTCAGGACCCCCACGGAAGCTGAGCAACTATTCTCCTCCCACTCATCTTACAGATGAGGAAACTGAGGCTCAGAGAGATTAAAAATACCCACTGGGACACGGAGAGCTGTGACTCAAACCCTGGAATCTGGCTTTTTCCCTCCCAGTTACTCACTTGGTTTTCGGCAGTGTACGTCAACTCTCTGGCGTGGGGCAGACACTCCACTTGCGTGACCGTACATTTTTTTTTTAAACTGTGGTAACATTGGTTTACAAATGCGCATCTTCTTGCATGCCTGGCTTTCTCGCACAGCTTTGGCTGAAGCCCAGTCAAAGCAACAAATCCTAATTTGCACACCAACCAACCAAGCTGAATCTTGCCTTTGGTTTTAAATCTGCAGAACATTACCCTACCGTGGCAAGCACTCTACATGTTAAGGGTTTCATTTACAAATCAAGAACTTCAAATTGCTAAATTCAGACTTCCTGCTCTAGACCACATAAAAACCACTAAGCCAGGTTTTCCTCTGCACAGCTCGGCCTTGCCCTGATCCGACGGCACCACCTAATGGCCACATCACACCTGTGCAAGCCACATACATCCTGAAAGACAGCTTCTCCGTCTTCTGCAAGACTGGCTACGAGCTTCTCCAAGTGAGTCAACACAAAACTGTCAGCGCACCAGGATCGTGATAGTTTTTAAATGCATACATATTTATATCAGCAAACATGTGAAAGGAAAATAGGAAAACAGCTGTTGTCAGCATGCTGGTTTCTTTAGCCTATGGTTAAACAACAAAAATCAAAGGAATGGTACGTTTCCAAAAAAGAAAAAAAAAATGGATGACTATGGAGAATTTTTGCTTAGGAATTCTGCCTTTTTAAAAAAAGGCTACTTTGGGGCCAGCCCGGTGGCGCAGCGGTTAAGTGCGCACATTCCGGTTCCGCGGCCTGGGGTTTGCTGGTTTGGATCCCAGGTGCAGACATGGCACCGCTTGGCACGCCATGCTGTGGCAGGTGTCCCACATATAAAGTAGAGGAAAATGGGCATGGATGTTAGTTCAGGGCCAGTCTTCCTCAGCAAAAAGAGGTGGATTGGCAGCAGTTAGCTCAGGACTAATCTTCCTCAAAAAAAAAAAAGGCTACTTTGGAAAGCTGGTGACTAAAATAGACAACTTTCCTCTATTCACACATTACAGCAGCTCTTGCTAGAGTGGCTGACACAACAGAAGGATGAGTTTGCCATCCTTGTCTCATGTGATCAGGCTCCTCCTCCTGGTCAAATGATGACCTTTATATGAAACAGTTCCTGGGCCCACAAAAGATTAAATGGTGCCAGGAAACAGTAAATTCTGCAAAGTTATAAATAGTGACCACTGTTAAGGGAGAGGCAGGATAATTTTTAAAAATGCTTAGCGTTGCTTTAGGGGCACAGGTGAGAGATTAACATGTCCTCTTTATGTTCTTCAAAATTGTCACCAAATCCCAGTGGTAAAAAGTAATAACAATAAAACGATAGCTAGCTATGCAGTCCAGTCCTTTGGAAGGGGAAAAAAAAAGGGAGAGAGAGACACTTTTCCCACCTTGCAATCTTCTTGGATGGGCTCTTTTTCACAGCACCTTGCACTGCAAACCTGTTTAGTTTCTAATTTAAAACAAAACAAAACAAAACCTCCTCCTCTCTTTTGAAGCATATTCTGCCAAAGCCATCTTATTTCATTTTAAAGTCTGATTTTAGAAAAATAATATTTCAATGAATGAAAATGTTTCTCCATAAATGATATTAGCAAGGAAAACTGATTTAGAACACACATGTGAAGCTTATGAAGTGTTTTTAGTAACTTTCCTCCAGCTAATGGAGGCTGGAAAATGGCTAGAAAAATCCACATTCACTCCATGTCTGATCAGGTTGGCCTTTTCCAAACTTCTGACCACCACCCTTTGGTACGTTATAGAAAGGAAGAGTGGGACATCAGCAGAACTGTGAGATCTGATGTGTTCCTGGATTAAAGTGGAAAGCATAAGATCTATCATAAATTGCTGCAGAGGTTAACATATGATTCCTAAACTGCCAGTACATCTTGAAAGGTGATATACAGCAGAGGTGACATAACCAGCAGAGCTGACGGCAGCAAATACGCACATACGTCAAGGCACAGTTGAGCTGTGCCTCTGGGCACGGGGGTGTGTTCAGCCCCTTGGGAGTCCCTCGCGAAACACTGGCAGAGGAACTACTGCGGGGGCACAGCTTTGGGGAGTGATGTTATGATGTAAACAATGAGATTAATATTTTCTGAATTCCTCTTTAGGGGGGTTATTTGCCCCTGAAATCATTTGCTGCAGTCTGTCAGAAAGATGGATCTTGGGACCAACCGATGCCGGAGTGCAGCGGTACGATCACGTGACAACTCCCTTAACTCCTGCTGCTGCTATTACTGCTGCTATTGTCTCTTCCGGTCTTCTTACAATGATTGTTTACGAGGCTTGAATTCCAAATTTGCTTCTCATTCCCAGTCTCTCAGTGTGCTCTTAGAGGTTAAAACGGGCCAAGCTACTAAGAAAAGTATTTGCTTTAGAAAAGCGTGATCTTTAAAAATATTTTTCTAAGTATAAAACACTCATACAGACGGGAAACAGAGAAAATTACAAACATCTTAATACCCATAATCCCACCGAATGAGTGTACAATCACTGTTATCATTTTGGTGTCTATCCCCCCAAGTACACACATATCTCACACGTGTAAACATGTATAGGCTACTGTATGCAGGGATGGGGTAAGAGAGTGTGTGTGTATATATATCTACCTATATATACACACACCCCCCAACCTGGGCTGATAGCATACATTACCATTCTGTGAACTAAGAATCACACATCTCAACATTTTTTCCAATTGCAAATACATGTTAACTTGAAAAAAGTATAAATTAACAAAAATATATAGTGAAATCCTCTCTCTCTCAAATCTCCAAATTAGGACTAAGAATTTGGGGTCTTTTCCTTCACATTCTTTATCTCCTATGCTCTGTATACTAACATATTTCACTATTAGATACTTTTTAATCAAAATAGGATACTTAATCTGACTGCAATGTGCTCTTCCCCCTACAAATTGTTGGGTAACTTTCCTCATCAATTCAAGTATTAATAGAGCCAGTTGTTCATTTTAATAACTGCATAGTATTATCATCATACAATGTATGCTTTTAATCTGATTTCTGCTTCCAGTTTCTTACTATCACACACATGGCTGTAGTTCACATCCCTGTATATATTTTTGCATATTTTGTGCAAGTGTTTATACAGAATTCCTAAGGGAATTTAAATATGTTCATTTCATAAGTTTACATTCCCACCAATTAGACTACCTATTTTTTTTTTTTTTTTTTTTGAGGAAGATTAGCCCTGAGTTAACATCTGCTGCCAATCCTTTTTTTCCTGAGGAAGACTGGCCCTGAGCTAACATCGGTGCCCATCTTCCTCTACTTTATATGTGGGACGCCTGCCACAGCATGGCTGGACAAGAAGTGCTATGTCTGCACCCAGGATCCAAACCGGTGAACCCCAGGCCACTGAAGCAGAACGTACGAACTTACCACTGTGCCACCGGCTGGCCCCAAAACTACCAATTCTTTTAATTCAAAAACCTCACAGGGGCTGGCAGCAAAGGGAGTGTCTGGAGTCAGATTCGGCACTTTTTGCTGGGAGTTGTGGCATCTCCTCTATGTGGAATCAGACAATGTAGGCAAAGCACCTGGCCCAGAGCCAGGCACACAGCTATGAAGGGGCTGAAAGCTATCTAAACAATCTTTTAATAGCCACAGAAACACATCAACAATTTTTAGGTGTCTACTGTGTGAAGAACTAACTTTTAGACTGATATCACTGTCTCACGAATTGGTTATTTCATATTAGTAATGTCCTAACAAGTGTGAATTCTAATCCAAATTCAAGGTATTAGGACTTCCAGGTCTTCTAAAAAGTTCGATTTATGAAAAGGCTTTTTTTCCTTCTTCTCCCCAAACCCCCCAGTATACTTGTATACTCTAGTTGTAGGTCCTTCTGGCTCTGCTGTAAGGGAAGCCACCTGAGCACGGCTTCGTGAGCAGTGCTAGGTCTGCTCCCAGGATCTGAACCAGCGAAACCCTGGGCGACTGAGAGCGCGCGACAACTTAACCACTCCGCCAGGGGGCCCGGCCCCACGTGAAAAGGATTATTAAGAACAAGCCGAGGACTTCAGAATTGTCCGTATTTCTACCTTTACAGACAAGCAAATTGCAAACCGAGTACCTTTCCCTCGCCCCAGATAGTACAGGCACTCATAGGCTGTGCAGCCTGCTTCCTTCTGTGTTGCTGTTTGGCTGCAAACCTTTATGTTAGAAGTGAGAGGGCTAAGGCAGTGCAAGTGATTTCAAATTCTCTTCCTTTAGGAAAGGCATCATACCACTCCTTCCCAGGGACTTCACATTGATCTAACCATTTAGGGACAGGCATGAGAGGGACGCTTTAAAACCACACTAAAGCAGGCGCCAGCAGCGCTGTAGTGCTTGGCCACCAGTGGCCAAGTGTTTAAGTTCGCGCACTGTGCTTCGGCGGCCCAAGGTTTCACCAGTTCGGATCCTGGGTGTCGACATGGCACGGCTCATCAGGCCAGGCTGAGGCAGCATCCCATATGCCACAACTAGGACCCACAACTGAAAATACACAACTATGTACCAGGGGTCTTTGGGAGAAAAACGAAAAATAAAATCTTAAAAAATCTTTAAATTCGCACTAAAGCGGTTCTCCCCACTTTCAGAGATGAAATCAATGAGGCCCACTGCACAGGGGAACACGAACACGGCTTCAAGTCAAGCAGCACACAGCACAACCACCTATCATCAGTCTGCACATCTCCTCAGTGTTAGTACAGAAAGTGCAAACTGATGGACTCCTCCCTCTCCCTCATTTCTTAGTTGTTGACTGTGGCCCTCCCGATCATCTCCCCAGTGGCCGCGTGGAGCACCTCACAGGTCCTGAAGCGACCACATACAAAGCTGAGATTCAATACCACTGCAATGAAACCTTCTACACAATGACAACAAATGATGGTAAGCATACTCTTCAAAGCTGGGGATGCGGGATATCTGGGACCTAAGTCCTCATGATCTGAAAATAAAACACTAACCCACAGTTTTGGCTAAGGCTAGACAAAAGATTAAAAAAAAAGCACTTGTCCCACCTGCTAAGTGAAATATCACAGCTTAAGTGACTTTAATGTCAATTTGCAAGAATCTGAAAACAGATCTTATCTAGTAAATGACTACTACAAACACACAATATATTCCAAATGGTTTAATTTAACAAGTCAAAACCTTATCATTAAGCACTTGAGATCTTGATACATATTCAAGTTATACATCTAAAAGGTTTCCACTTTGCAAGCAAACACGGTAATGCAGACACCTCCTATTTATGAAATCATGTAAAATGGTTATTCAGACACCTCTATTTCTCACTGATGCTCAAGAATCAACATTTTTCAAGGGGGTATTCAAGAAAATGACAACCACCTTATACACGCAGTTAAACATTTTTGCTTTTCCAATGATTTGCAGGTAAATATGTGTGTGAGGCTGATGGATTCTGGACGAGCTCCAAAGGAGAAAAATCACTCCCCATCTGCGAGCCTGGTAATGGATACATTTATACAAGGGATCTGTAATTGATGGCAAGTAGGACTGGGTAGGAGACAACAAGCATGGCTTTAGCCATGGGAGGCAGAAAAGCAACTTCAGCACTGGGCTGACACCAAGTTAGTATTTCCAGACAATATGTTCCCATGATCCCCTGTCCACAAGGAGAGGGCGTTAGGTGCTGACTGCATCAGTCAGTTATTTTTGACCTTACAACTAGGCAAGCATAAAAAATGAATGATTTTTAAAATTATCTTGAACCATTTACACATTTATAAACATGAGTTTTTCTGTTGAGTTACTTTTCTTCTCTGTAAAAACGCTATTAAAACCCAAAGCTAATAACTTCATTATTTTCCTAAGCAATTGTTTTCGATGACATCTAGTTTTTAAACAATAATGGAATTTGCCCTTTAATAGTACTTAAAAAATTTTTTTTACCAGAACTTGCTCTGAGGATATAGTTAAGTAGTGATTTTAAAAAAAATTCAGAAAGGTAGTATTATATTCATTACCCTTATGCTATTTGGCTTAAATTAGTTTTTTTAAAAACCTCTATCTTAGCTGACCCGTTTATAAGTTTTAAACAAGTATTCTGCCACAACAGGAAACAAATTTGCTACATTAATGAGCGTATTTAGTTCGCAATAGACAGTAAAATTTAATATCTGGAAGAATAAACTAGACCAAAAATAGTAATTTCTGAACCAGAAGGTTCTTGGCTACAACTGCAATGTTCTAATTTTTAAGACATTTAAATGTTCAAAGATGAAAGTAATTTTGCAAATCCCATGATGGTGACCTTAGGCTCCTGCTTTCCCAGAACTATATGGGAAATACTCATTTTACAAGTAAGAAAACAGAAGCAACGAAAGGCTATTTCCTTTCACTTTCTACACACATCACCCAGTGCATCAGCTCAGACAATTCCTGTTTGCCCTCAAAATAATTTCTCCAATCATGCAGATCATTTCTTTTAGCAAAACAAATTCGTTTCTAAAAGTTAATTTTCACTCACCTCATTTTCTGAGGCGCTAAGAAGTATCACATGGCTATTTGAATTGTGCTGTTGTAAAGCAGCCTCACTTCCCTGTATAGGGGGACACCCACCAATTCATGAAATACAATTCTTGGTTGACATTAGATATACACAACTCCAAAGTGGTACTAATTAGAGATTTCTCTAATGGCTGTATATATCTGCTTTTTCACCAGTTTGTGGAAAATCAACTCGTACTACAAGAGGCCGTATACATGGAGGGCAAAATGCAAAGCTTGGTGATTTTCCCTGGCAAGTCCTGTTACTAGGTGAAGCTACAGCAGCAGGTGCACTTTTATATGACAAATGGATCCTAACAGCTGCTCATGCTGTATATGGGCAAAGAGAAGATGCCTCTTCCCTAGACATTAGAATGGGTGCCCTGAAGAGACTGTCACCTCATTACACACAAGCCTGGGCTGAGGCCATTTTTATACATGAAGATTACAATCATGATACTGGTTTCGATAATGACATAGCACTGATTAAATTGAAGAACAAAGTTGTAATCAACAGCAACATCCTGCCTATTTGTTTACCAAGAAAAGAAGCTGAATCCTTCATGAGAACAGATGACATCGGAACTGCAGCTGGGTGGGGATTAACTGAAAGAGGTTTTCTTGCCAGAAATCTAAAGTTTGTTGACATACCAGTTGTTGACCACCAAAAATGTACTGCTGCATATGAAAAGAAGCCCTATCCAGGGGGAAGGGTAACTGGTAACATGCTTTGTGCTGGCTTAGAAAGCGGGGGCAAGGACAGCTGTAAAGGTGACAGTGGAGGGGCATTAGTGTTTCTAGATAATGAGACACAGACGTGGTTTGTGGGAGGAATAGTGTCCTGGGGTTCCATTAATTGTGGGGAAGCACATCAGTATGGGGTCTACACAAAGGTCATTAACTATATTCCCTGGATCAAGAACATAATCGATAATTTTTAATTTTATGTCTTCCGTCAGGAAATGATTCCTTATTTTAAAAAAATACCTGTAAAACATCTTAGCAGCACAATGTGACCTGAGAAATATTAACACAGCAGTTGTTGCTACACTGAAAAACCAAAACCAAACTACAGGTGGGAATGCCATGACAGGCACTTCTCAGCTCGCCAGCTTTTCACCCCTTACTCTTTAATTTGAGGGGACATAAAACATTATAGTAATATTCACCATCTTTGCCAATCCAATAGAAACTCACTGGTTAAATTTGTATTTAATTACATACAAAGTCCAGTATCCCTTTTTTGGACTGGCTGTTTGCATTTCTGTAAAATGCCTGTTCGTGTTCTTAGACTATTTTTCTACTATTTTGGGACTTTTCTTATTGATCTCTAACAGAGCGTGATATAATACAGCAGTATTGGTTCAGGAACAACCTTGAAACGTGGTGTTTTTTTGGTAGATCAATTGGAAACATCAATAATTTAGCCTAGGTATTGACTGATTTCCATGTTAAAAACCAATACCACAAAACGATGAGATACAATTTTTCACTTATCAAATTGGCAGACAAAAACAACATGGAATTGCGCTATTTGACGTTGTCATACAACATGAATTTTCTAAAGGACAATTTGGCAATATATATCAAAAGCCTTAAAAACATGCAGTCTTTGACCTAGTAATTCCACTGCTAAGAATTTAATTTAGCTGTGAGGATGTTCCTAGCACTTGGAAATAACCTAAATAATGTTCAAACTCAGACGACAGCTGAATCAAAGGTGGCATTTCCATAAAATGAAATGTGACATTAGAAATAAGTGATGATCTTATAGATAAATCTGTAGTGTTTTTTTTTTCCTTTTTACAATGAATACGAAATAGTCGGGCACACTCAACTAAACAATAGATCACAGATCATACAATTGCTGAGTATAGTAGAGAACTCACAAATACACAATTAAGAGGTATACTCTCCTAGTACTCAACAACAACAAATTATTCTAATTATCACATGCATTTTCTGAATTATTAAGTAGTTAACATCTTTCTTTTTCCTAAGGACAAAATTTGAGCTCTGACTTAACCTTAAAAATCTCATTTCATTTTAGTTGGCTAGTCCTCCCTAAAAAGTTTTAATAACTAACATTTAACAAAATTTTTCTTTCTAGCCAACGAGTTACCATTATATGTAAAAATTCATTGTGAGTTTTGGCTTTATTTCTCTTGTGCATATAAATTGCCAACTTTTTGAGACTCACTTTTCAAAGGTAACTTTGCAGCATCTTTGTTACATATAAAAAAGAAACTATGTTTTTCCAGTAAGACTCCAGACACTAAACTGTGGTGGCAACAAAAATTTTTATTCAACTGCTTCAAAAAAATTTTTAGAATGCATGTAGATGACCAAATAGACTTTAAAAACAAATCTTTGCCAAATAGTTTACTTCTAAACTTCAAAATTTTTTTTTAGGGTAGAATTAAATACCCATAGCTATGTAGTACCATAAACATGTTAATATAAGGCTACTCAACATTGAAAGCCTTCTAAGACTGGTAACTAGATTTACACAAGTATAAATAAGGGATTAAAACCATGCCATCGACAAGTTAACTTACCCCTGGGTTCCTTGAAGGCTTGTCAGTTTAGTCTTTGGAGGTCCCCCGAATACCATTTTAAGTGTTACCATGTTACTGCTGCTGAGTAATATTGCAAGTGCTAAAATGCAAAATTCAGATGGTACAGGGTTTGGAAATCATGCAATTTAGATGCAGGAAAAAAAATTAAAACAACGCAAGATCCCTTTACAGAGAAAACTGAACAACAAAACAATGTGGCGATCACAAGTCCAAAGGAAGACTTCATTTATAAAAGTTTAAAACACGTAACTTGCAAAATGACAAACCTATTTATCATAATCTAATTAGATAAGGGCAATAGTAAACTATCAACACAAAAATTGTTACATTCTTCCGTTAGAAAACGAGCTCAACTCTCACAGAAGTAGCAGTTACATCAAAAGTACAATAGAGAATCAATATATTATTGCTTTTACATACTTCACACTGCATCGTGAGAGTCTGAGTTTTGTAAACGATTTTATTCAACATTACTATAATCCCCCACCTTGGGAGGACAAAGCCCATTTCACTTAACACTTCCACAGACAGACAACCCACCCTGCTAGTTCTTAAAGCTATCAGGCTTCTTAAATGGATTTCAGGCACAAGATAATTTGTGGTTTCTTCTACTTTATCCCTATTGCAATTAATTCCACTTTTCAAATCCAAAACTAGAAAGGTGCTGATATTCCCTTTTTTCAATTGATATGCTTTGTTACAAAGCACTGAAAATAATTAACATTGTTTTGCCAACTCCCCCAAATAAGAATATTTTAGAAGGCATGACTTCCCAATGGAGATTTATACAGGCCATGTAAATAGAACATCACCCAAATGCACAGAGGCACTAAGAAAAAGCTGGAGGGTACTGCTTACCATTTTAGGTGCGGTCACCCAGACTTATTAAAAACTAGATTTAAAAAGAAAAAAAAAACTTTTCACTTTGGACAATGCAAGAACATATAGCAATTAAGTCTGGGTATCAGATGTCAATGCATGACAGGTGATGAATCCATTTGACTTGAGACAACTTTTCAAATAAGTTTATTTGAAGCAAAATAAGCTACTGCCAAGAAACTTTATGAAAGTTCCATCTCAAAAGGGTCAAAAAAAGGGGAATTAACTGCTATGAATTCTTTGCATTCAGGGCTGCAAAACAAAGACACATATTATTTAAATCAGTTTTATTTAAGAATTTCCAACATTGACAACTCTTATAAAAAGCATCCAAGCACAGGACACAGAACCGCAGCAAACAGCATTCTTATGGGTAGCTAACAGACATTAGAACTTCCACCCTTCTTTGAGACACCCCGAGCTCACTGGTGAACTCTGCTTCCAAGTACTCCTGCAAAGCACACCACAAGCTCAGTCCATGTTCTCAACCCATCAGCTTCAGTTCACATTACCACACTTACAGATCAGTAACAGAAGAGAACACACACCAGACAGCATTCACAGCAGTTGACAAAGGGGTAGGGGAGATACAAGTATCGTTTCACTAACACATTCAACTAATGTGGGTCATCTAAGAACAAAACCCAATTAAGTCTTCCAACAGCTGTGGATGTCCTTTGAATGCAAAAAACATTCGTACATTATTTGCTATCATTGCTCTCTGCACACTCTCGCACCAAAGCCACAGGATTGAGAGACACATCTCGCCAAGTTAAAAAATATCCATTATGCACCACCAAGTCTCTGCACGCGCTCTCTCCTTTTCTCGCTCATACTAGCCTTTCATGCCTCGGCACCACCATCAATCCTCACACAAGGTTTCAAAAGTTCAAACAGCTTTCTGGTTCCATATCACAGCCTTGCGTTCATAGCGTTGATACGACTCCATGAAATAAAGAGTAGCGGATAAAAATGGGACACCCACCGTCAAAGACGCAGCCTGTGCAGTGTGATGACGAATTCTTGAATGAGAAAGCATGTAGACAGAAGCATTCCTATGGCAGAATATTTACAGCACTACTTTCAATGAAGTGCTTCTCCCATAAACATTTGACATGAGATGAACTGTGGAGATTAAACGAAGGCTTCATATTGTACTTTTGTATGAAGGGAGACACGTGTTAAACACAAAACAAAACAAAAGAACCAAACACTGTGACACCATGATCTCCAGAAAGGAGCTTTTTCTAAGGAAAAAATCCATATGGTGGGGTTCAAATTAAAACAAGGAGAAAAGAATGTAGTTCTAATCAATGGTTTCCATTTTGAACATGCAAAGAATTCACTTGACAAGTCCAGGGATAAAATATTACAGGAGAAACCTTTCGATATCAATTGTAGTGTGTTGGTTTACCAATCAGGCAAACAGCAGTTCACTTTCAAACACTCAATATTTAACCCTTTATGTAACAAAACTTATAAAATTCCTTTAGCTCTTCCTCTGTTTCGAAAGAAAAATGTCAAAAATACTGCTGAATATACTCCACACTGAACAAACCAATTTTGAAAATTCTTAGTACATACGTATTTTACAATATACTTACCATGAGTTTAGAAAAATTTGAATTCCCACCAGTCTATACCAACCAACCATAACCCTCTGTGTCTACATTCCCCAGCCAGAGGATTTAGAATCCATGCTTGAGCCAAAGCCTCCATTAAAACCACTGCCTGACCCCGCATTGGATGCTGATCCCCAACCAATTGCTGCACCTGAATTAGAACCACTGTAAGAGTTATTTCCAGAACCAAAGGCCTGATTTGGCTCCCTCTGCATGTTGCCTTGGCTTTGGTTATTACCTGACGGGCCTGACTGGCTCTGCTGACTGGCTAACATGCCCATCATACCCCAGCTGCTCTGCAGGGCTGCCTGGGCTGCGGCCATCATGGCTGGATTTATGCTAAAAGCGCCAAAGTTCATCCCTCCACCCATATTACTACCTTGATTGTTTCCCAAACCAGCTCCACCCCCTCTACTGTTACCAAATCCACCCTGATTCCCAAAACCACCTGGATTACCACCAAATCTTCCACTTCTTTCTAACTGTCTATTGCTATTGTGCTTAGGTTCAGCATTGGATATATGTACGCTGATTCCTTTAATGATCAAGTCCTCTCCACAAAGAGACTGGGCAACCTATAAGAAATAAGGGATGCGAATAACAAAGATTAAACCATTGATTCATATATCAAAGTGGCAATAAAACTTAAGATTTCAAGCCATTATTTAAGCTGGAGGAAAAATAAGCAACGAATGCTCATTTCATTCAAACCCATAAAATAATCTTTAGCTTTAGTAATGGCAACAAGGATTTTTCAGTTTACTTTCAAAAGATATATAACACTCGTAGTTAAACACCAGTTACTGGAAAATATCTAAAGGGTTTATCACAAATACCTAGGCCCATATACCCCACACCTTATAAGGTTGGAAAGCTTAGCTAAGGATGGCAATTAGCTGAATGGGAAAAGTTCAAGAGAAATTACCTAATTAGCTGGGGCAAAGTTATTAAAGAGGAAAATACCTGATCATCTGCAAATGTAACAAAGGCAAAAGCCCTGAATGGCTTGGGGATGAAGACGTCTACCACTTCTCCATACTGGCAGAAGAACTGCCGGAGCTCGTCGGCAGTCATGTCCTCCGTGCAGCGCCCCACAAACACCTTCCGGCTTCTCAGAGGCTCATCTGGGCTTTGCTGGTCAGATCAAAAAGAAGGGAAAACATCAGAAGCGTTTTACGAGCAATGAAAGAGGCATTATGGTAGAGGATGTAACAAAACCGGTCTGTCTCTTCTATCAGGTGAGTCTTTAAAAAGTAGGTACATTCTCATTTTTTCGCATCGTGCTTCTCTTTCTTGTAGGACTTCAGTGAAAAATAAAGTTTTAAAGTTTAAAGTTCATGAAAGCATACGTGGATTACGGAAAGTCAACGACTGAGAAACGTCCTGGTAAAGATGACCATGTTCCCAATAAGCACGTCTTGCTTGCTTGGAACAAGTCAGGCCTTTGTAACAAAATTAATGTATTCTGATTGTCTTTGTTTTCGCATGTAACTACGCAAGAAATGTTAACTTGCTAGAAATAACAAGAAAAGAAGGAATAAAATGAACAAAGTCTGAGTTTCAAGGGGTGCTAAACTAAGTAATTTCAAATAAGCATAAAATATTCAGCATGTATTAAGGTCCTAAGGCTTTAACAAGGCAAAAGATTCTAAGAACACACCCTGCCACTAGCTTTGCCAAGTGTATTTAATGTTTTATTTTACAGTGTCTTCTAAGGAAGTTTCTCAGCAAAAATTACCAAAGCAGAGGAAAAAAGAGCAAAGTACCTTAGAATTAGGAAGTTTACAGTCACACCATCGTCCATCTATCATATGTCGCTGTGACATTACTTTCACCTGAGTTTCATATTCCGTAAAACGAACAAAGCCAAACCCTTTTGAATGACCAGTTTTAATATCTTTCTTGACCTAGGGAAAAAACCATTTAAATTTACTACAACTACACAACACACAAACAAATCAGAATTCCTCGACAATTTCAATGGCTTCAATTGGACGAGGTGGCTCATTCAAAACTTAAATCAAGTGATTCTTCAGGCAAAAGCAACAGGAGGGTAAACGTTGAATCCAGATCATGTTACTAGTAGAGTAAAACTCATTTACATAATAGAATTTCAACAAAATGTTTTAGAATCCAAAGATAAACTAGATTTAATGTTTACAAAACAATTAAGAAAAGCAGAAAATAAAAGTTTTTAATCTCCTAGTAATTTAAGTTATAAAGAATAAAGCCAACGTCACCTCACCTCCTTCCCTTAAGCGTTTGTATGATAGTAGGATTTTACAATATCAAAGACAACAACATACAGTACATGCATAAAGGGAAATGGTGTGAGCCAAATTTCTTTTTAGCATCCCCTATGTATACAAATAACGAACACTGAAAATATTTTCTACTGACCATGAAGGGCAGTGTCACTAACACAACAGGAGTTCTGAGCGCTCATTCACTGGGAAAGAAAAACTTAAATGAAATCAAAGTTCACCTGAACCATAAGAACTTCTCCAAAGGTACTAAAATATTCCTTTAGATCCTGTTCAGTTGTTTTCCACGGGAGACCCAACACTATTAAATCAGATGTTTTCTGGACTGCTCTTTTCACTTTCACTGCTGATGAAGCATCTGTCTCATCCATTTTTCTTTTGTTATCTAAACAAAATGGGCAGAAACCTCTTAGAACTCTTCGTTTAACACTTCTTAAAAACACGTTACCTCCTACATCTAGAACCGAGAAACAAAAAGATTCTGCCTAAGAACAATAAGATACTGAAAACTTTTGGCAAAAAGTGATGCTAGCCTCAAGGACAGAGTAAGGCATTAAACAAGCGGGTGAGGCACTTTTCTGGTGCAAGTCCAGAGACTCCTGCATCTGGTTTTGTATATTTGTACATCTCAAGATTACAACTGCATGATCTCTCCTCTCAAAAGGCATTATCAAAACAAAACGAGTTCTACTTCACTTTGAATATAAAATACATTAAAGAGGGAAAAAAGGTTAAAAAACAGTGTGATAATATCTTTCTGCCTATTAAATAGACTTGCTTAATTATTTTAATGCCTGTAACTTAAAGGCTATATACCAAAAAATTAGCAACTTTTATCTCCAGCTGTGGATTTAAGCGTTTTCAATTTTCTTTTTCTTTCTTTTCTTTTTTTTTCAGATTTTTAAAATTTTTTTCTTTTTCTCCCCAAAGCTCCCCGGTACATATTTGTGTATTTTTAGTTGTGGGTCCTTCTAGTTGTGGCATGTGGGACGCCGCCTCAGCATGGCCTGATGAGTGGTGCCATGGCCGTGCCCAGGATCCGAACCGGCGAAACCCTGGGCCACAGAAGCAGAGCACGTGAACTTGACCACTTGGCCACAGGGCAGGCCCTTTTTCTTTCTTTTCTAAACTTTCCACAATGAACTCACATTAATTTTGTAATAAGAAAAAAAAACCTTTAGGTTATTTTTAAAAACCAATATTTGGAAGGGAAGAGGAGGAACGATTTTTAAAAACAGACTTTATTTTTTAGAGCAGTTTTAGGTTCACAACAAAACTTCGAGGAAGATGAGATTTCTTTTTTTTTTCCCTTTTTCTCCCCAAAGCCCCCAGGTACAGAGTTGTACATTCTTTGTTGTGGGTCCTTCTAGTTGTGGCATGTGGGACGCTGCCTCAGCGTGGTTTGATGAGCAGTGCCACGTCCGCGCCCAGGATTCGAACCAACGAAACACTGGGCCGCCTGCAGCAGAGCGCGGGAACTTAACCACTCGGCCACGTGTCCAGCCCCGAGACTTCTAACATACCCACTGCCTCCACACATGGAATAACCTCCCCCTTTATCAATATCCCCCACCAGGGTGCTCTATTTGTTACAACTGATGAGCATACACTGACACATCATTATCTAAATAACATTTTAAATTTGGGTAAACATTCATCTATAGTCAACAGCTCAAGAAACAGCTTTCTTAAAAAAACCGAGTCAACCCTATTAAACATTTTCTTGACATTAAGTCAATGTCTTGCATACTGACCATATATGATGGACTCTTGCAACATCAAGTTATAATTAAAGTACCAGACAGATGTATCAACCAGCACACATTTCTACAGCTAAAATGCACCCATTTCCTTGGCATACTTGTTAATCTTCATGCTTCCTTTTCTTTCTCTTTTTTTTTTGAGGAAGATTAGCCCTGAGCTAACTACTGCCAATCCTCTTTTTGCTGAGGAAGACTGGCCCTGAGCTAACATCCATGCCCATCTTCCTCTACTTTATATGTGGAACGCCTACCACAGCATGGCTTTTGTCAAGCGATGCCATGTCCGCAACCAGGATCTGAACCGGCAAACCCCGGGCTGCTGAGAAGCGGAACGGACGAACTTAACCGCTGCCCCAGCGGGCCGTCCCCGATGCTTCCTTTTCGTAGATTTACAACATCGGGGATAAGGGACAGTGAGAATAAGACCAGAACACAAAACTATAATTAAGACTACATTAATTCAAGATTTGGGCTACTGCAATTGATGTTCATTTAAGGGGGGAAAAAAAGAAGTCAGATTAGTTGAATGAATGATGTAAGCCTGCAACGACAAAGACCTAACCAAAATATTGGGGCACTTCAGAAGAATCTATTTACAACAGACTAATCTAAATGCAAAGCATTCTTAGTAATTCCTCAAATTTGGCATTAACTTGGCAACGTTTGTTCAGACGATTATTTAAATACATATTTTTCTCTCTAAAAAATGTTTTGTAATTTCCAATTTTCACTAATTTAGACTAGCTGTCTTCGAAACTAATCTAACAGTAACATTTAAAGAAATACTTGGGTTATAGGAGACATTTCACCATGCAGAAAGGCCATGATCTATGACTTCGAATGAGACACAGACCCCACAGTACTTTAGCACTATTGCAACACCAAATGGCAACAAACCTTTGGGATAGTTCACAACGTACACCAGGTTCCCCCAGCCAGCATCCGGAGCATGCAGAATTCCTTCTACCAGCCGGACCCCTCTCATACACTGAGACACTGGATTCCTGTAGCGCAGCCCACAGGCCCCTGGAAACTGGGCTGTCACCGTGGACAGCAGCACCGTCCCATCATCTTCCGACGGTATTTCAATGGGCTCATCATTCTCATCTTCCGTTACCCGAATATATTCAGACATTTTTTCTTCTTTTTCTTAAAGGGAAAGAACACTTGTGTCAAATCAACCGTTTCCTTATAATCAGCTCATCAATACCACGACCATGTCATTGTCCTAAGAGATCCAGAAAAATTCTTGCGGCTTGCACTCATACGTGTTGGTTATCCCCGAAAAGAGAGGAGGCAAAGGCAAAGATAGTGATTCCTATTAAACTGCGATGCCTTGCTAGTTCATTCATCCAATAAATATCTGCTAAGTGTCTACCACGCATGGGGGTCTGCAATTACAACTTTACAACCAGTCAGCCCCAGGTAGCACGCTGGTTACAAGGTGGAGGGGCGAAGGGAAGCAAGAAAAAGATAGCGAACGAGTCATTATTTTATTACAATCGTGATATACGCTGCTAGGAACAAGTCGTACTCCTGGGGGCCGGGGAGAACCTAAACTGGTTGACACACGCGTATGGGTCAAAGCAGACCACCCTAAGCCAGGGATGCAGAATCTGAGTCTTGAGCATTGACTGGGAGCAAGGAGCCAGGTGGAGAGAACAGGGAAAAAGTTCCTCCCTGTGGGACTTCCGGGGGCTCTCCAAACTTGAGCCACAAGGAAAGCGGCGACAGGTCCTTGGCGACGCGGGCCGCCACCTCCCAGAAGCCAGCGCGTGGCGGCCGAGGGCGGGGTTTTTCAGCGCGGCCGAGGTGGGGCCGCAGGGGCACAGGCCTGAACTGACAGCGTCCCCCCGACGGTAAAGTACCGAAAGCACAAAGCACTGCCCGGCCCGGGAGCCAGGCCAGACCTCGGCCTCGGGCTGCACGGCCCCGCGAGCCCGGAGCTCCTGCTCCGGCGCTGGCTGCCACCCGAGCCAGGCCCTAACGACGCTCCCGCGCGAGCCCGCCCGGGCAGAACAAGGCAGGCCCGGCCCCGCGGCTCCCTTCCCGGGGCGGGCGCCGAAGCTGCCGCGTCCGCCTCAGGACAGGAACTGCGGCACCCAGCGCGTCCTCAGTGAGCAGCGTCCGCGACTCACCCGCTAGGCCGCTGCTAGGAAGCCCGACAGGGGAACCGAAGCAGCGAGGGATCCAAGAGCAGCCCAGCTACCGCTTCGCTCCACAAAATGGCGCTAGGGCCGCCTCCTCCCCCCGCCGGCCGTCGTCCTCTCCCACCGGCTCCCCGTCAAGAGGGGGAGGGCGCCGCAAGGAGACGCGACTGCCCTATCCTTAGTCCTCTCAGACCTCCTTACTGGGAGTCTGAGCCTACCGAGCGTGTTGGAAGGATAACGTAAGACCGGCGCCTGGGCCTGAAAAGCTAAAAATTGAAAAAATGTGGGTGCGTTGGCTTTTAACTCCCCCCACGTAGCGTAACAGATGGTTTCGCCCGACCAACCGACGGCCCCGGGTCTCGGCCGGAGCTCTCGTACTTTGAAAGTGCGCGAGACTAGGTCCGGGGCAGGGCTAGGGGGAGTGGGGCGGGGCTAGCGGGGGCGGAGCGCGGGGGTCCCGGACCCTCCTGCTGTCGCTGCTTGGGCGAGCAGAGGAGGCCAGGACCCTTTGTCTAAAAAGCCAGACGGGTGCGTCCTTACCTCTTTCCCTTAGCCTGCATCCACACCTGGAGAGAATAACTTTGTTATAAATAATACCAATGATAGCGCCGACTGTGTACCAGGTGCTTTCTAAGTACTCACATGTTTAATTGCCCCGACGGTCTTGTGTAGGTATTATTAGTACTAACCTCACGTACAGGTGAGAAGGAAACTGAGGCTCAGAGAGGTTAAGTATCTTGCATAAAGTCACCCAGGTAGTGAATGGACCTAGGTTTTGAACCCTAATCCTAATGCTAACATATTCCAGCTCCAGGCGTGTAATAATAATAGTATACTTCATCTGTTTTAAGACACACCTGTTGTTTCACATTTCTGAAATCAATACGTGATTTCAGTTCCAGTTCTGTTAATGATATGTCCTTGTTTAATTGGCAACAATCTTAATTTTTTAGTGTGTTAGATTCAATGAAATGCAGTAATAGCAAAGTGCGCTATATTTATGCATTAACTCATTTAATCCTCACATCAGCCCTATAAGGTAGGTGCCATTGTTATCATTCATATTTTATGGATAAGGAAACTGAGTCACAGAGGCTCAGTAACCCTGCCTAAACTCACAGGGCTAGTAAATGGTGGAGCTGGGATTTGAACCCAGGCAGTCTGGCTCTGCAGTTGGTGCCTCCTGCCTCTTACAGCCTCCTAGGGAATAAACATTAAGTCCTGCAAGTCTGTCTCTGATGCCAGCTGTTTATAGTACCCAGATTATGCCTGAACCAATTTGGAGAGCTAGGGAGCAGGGAGTGAAGGTTGACAGAATGAGTGACGTTTACGCACCCCCAAGGGTAGCCCTTCACCCAGGGGACGAAGCTGGACAAATGGCCCCTGATGGTCACTAATATTTCGAAGCACTGACTGAAGCACAGAGGGCTCTGTCATCTCAGTCCAACCAGTCGTTTTGGGGGAGAAGTCAGTTCTATTATCTTCACTTTTCGCAAGAGGAAACTGAGGCTCAGAGGGCATGTGACTTGCCTGAGATCACATACTTGCCGAATGTCACCCAGCCCATAAACTGCTGTCCTGTCCGAGGTTTGTCAGCCCCTGAAGCTGTGTTCCATCCACTTCCCTGGACCACTCTCTGTGACGAGATTGAGACTGAGGCATTTGGCGTGGGTAGTTCTGTGAGGCCTTGGATGCCTGCTGCAAGTGGGCAGAGCTGGGGATGCAGAAGCTGGAGAAAGGTCACATAGGGACAAAACCACAAAGGCTGTCCCTTCCCTCAGAAGTTTTCAGGCGAGTTGGGAGGACCAGCAAACAGTCTTGAAGAAGGTACATAACTCCTTCAGGAAGAGAACTGATAAGGCCAGAGGGAGGCTAGAGTCCTGCCACTCCTCTCTGAGTTGATCTCTGGGTTTCAGCTTTATGGTGCCGATTGTCAAAAATTCTACTTGTTTAAAACGGGTTTTGTAAGTTCTCTCCATTTGCTTGCTTGTTTGTCCGCATCCCTTACACATTAAGCCCCAAGACTGTTAGAGGGCCAAAAGGTATCTGTTCTTACCCATTTCCTCTCTTCTGAGCATTTATTAAATGCTTTCTGAAGATGATGGATCAGAAAGGATTTACTGAGCCCCTATGCCTTACCCAGCTCCCTGCTAAAACTATAGTGCAAGGACACACAAGAAAAGTGAAAGCCAGTCACGGCCTGGACAGAGTAGTCTACAACCCAGGTCGGGGTAGGGACAAAGAATAATTGGAAAATGATCCTAGGAAGCATAAAGCAGGTGAGTGCCAGTGCTGGGCAGATGCTGAGGGACTGAGCGGTCCCCAGTAGTTCTCTGGGGGGGGGAGGGGCCGGCTTCCAGCATAAGGATGAGGGGTCTCAACTGGAAGGAAAGGGTACTGGACAGACAGCCAGAGTGCCTGGGAATTTGCCCCCGTTTGCAACCTGGTCCTTGGGTCGTACCTCGTCGCCTTCCAGCGCCTCCCGTGGATTCTCAGCTCTGCCAGCTTTGTAAAGCGAACAAGCATTCCAGAAAACTAGAAGCAATACCCAGATAATAACGGTATTTAAATAAAAGTAACTTTATTTTATCAAGATTTAATTTTCTCTTTTTTTTTTTTTTAAAGATTGGCACCTGGGCTAACAACTGTTGCCAATCTTCCTTTTTTTGTTGTTTTTGTTTTTGTTTCTGCTTTATTTCCCAAACCTCCCCCCGCCTCCGCCCCAGGTACATAGTTGTATATCTTAGTTGCAGGTCCTTCTAGTTGTGGAATGTGGGACGCCGCCTCAACGTGGCCTGACGAGCGGTGCCATGTCCGCACCCAGGATCCGAACCCTGGGCCGCCGCAGCGGAGAGCGCGAACTTAACCACTCGGCCACGGAGCCGGCCCCCTAATTTTCTCTTATTCCATATGTTTTTAGTTCCTGCCAAAATTAGGAGCTGCCTCCCCAACTGGTCTAGGTCTAATTTAGATTTTTCTAAAAATTTTTTACTCTGAAATAATTTAAAACTTAGGATAGCATTGCAAGAATAGTAGAAGGAACTCCTGTGTGCCCTTTATCCAGATTCAACAACTGATAGCATTTCGTCACATTTGCTTTATCACTCCCTCTGCCTATAAAGACGTATAAAATAATAATCATCTCCATGTATCTTAGTACTTCACTATTATCAAATTCAGGAATTTTAACATTAATATAACACAGGTTATAAATGTTTGGCAGGAATACCACGGAAGCGATGCTGTGTGCTTCTTGCGTAGCTCATCAGGAGGCACAGGATGTCTGTTGGTCCCATTACTGATGATGTCAGCCTTCATCTCCCGGTTAAGGTGGAGTCCACTGCTATTCTCCACTGTGAAATTACCATTTTCCCTTACGGAACTGATAAATAATCTATGGGTAGATACACTGAAACTATCCCAAGTATCTTGTTTGCCTTCGAATTTTCACCCAATGGTTTTAGAATTCATCAATGACTCTTGACTAATTAGTTGCAAAACGGTGATTTTCTAGTTCCATTATTTTTTCAACAATTAATTTTTAAGCTTTTTATTTTGAAAAATTTCAAAGTGTGGACAAATTGAAACAACAGTGCAATGAGCATCAGCATAGCCACCACTTAGGCACATCAGTTGTTACTATTTTGCCATATTTGCTTCAGCCACCCAGCTAGCTAGCTATATCTCTATATTTTGCTGGACCATTTCAAAGTAAGTTGCGGTCGTCGTGACATTTCACCCCTAAATACTTCAACCTGCATCTCATAAGAACAAGGACATTCTCCTACATAACCACAATACCATTATCACCCCCAAGAAAATTGACAATTATTTCCTAATATCATCTAATATCCAGTCCATATTCAAATTTCCGCAATTGTTCCCCATAATGGCTTTTACAGCTGTTTTCTTGAACCAGGAATTAAGTTTCACGCATTGCATTTGGTTATTATGTCCTTTAGTCTTTTTTTTTTCCCTAAGATTTTATTTTTCCTTTTTCTCCCCCAAGCCCCCCGGTACATAGCTGTATATTTTCAGTTGTGGGTCCTTCTAGTTGCGGCATGTGGGACGCAGCCTCAGCATGGCTTGATGAGCGGTGCCATGTCCACGCCCAGGATTCGAACTGGCAAAACCCTGGGCCGCCGAAGTGGAGCACCCGAATTTTTTTTTTTTTTTTAAATATTTTATTTTTTCCTTTTTCTCCCCAAAGCCCCCCGGTACATAGTTGTATATTCTTCATTGTGGGTCCTTCTAGTTGTGGCATGTGGGACGCTGCCTCAGCGTGGTCCGACGAGCAGTGCCATGTCCACGCCCAGGATTCGAACCAACGAAACACTGGGCCGCCTGCAGCAGAGCGCGCGAACTTAACCACTCGGCCACGGGGCCAGCCCCTGGAGCACCCGAATTTAACCGCTCGGCCACGGGGCCGGCCCCCCACCTTCTGCATTCTTTTGTAAAGAAGAACTTTCCTTCATTAACTGGGGTGTTTCTCCTAAACGTTTAACTTTTTATCAATTTTCAGAATAGGTTGATGTATTAGTCACCTCCAATGATAACAAACTTATTTTATTTTTTTTTTCCTTTTTTTTGATAGTCACTATGAATCCTTGGATTTTATTTATTCAGTGTTTTGCAATAGGTTACAGTCATTAGTGTTTTTAATGATCAAATTGTCCTAATTATGGCCTGGGGAAACCCTTTAAACTGGCTTTGGGTCCTTTTGATGTGTCCCCATTAGTCTTTGAGCACATTCTTGCTTTTTGGCACAACAATATGTTCCGGGCTCACCTTATTCTTTCTCTGCGCCAGCCCTGGGATCAGCCATTCCTCTAAAGAGCTCTGGATCCTTTTAGTCAGAAAAGGCATTTAGAAACTAGAATCTGGGAATTAGGTGTACTCGTTGCTGCTTTGGTTGTCACACGCATTTTTGAAAGGTAAAATAATACAATGCCAAGGCAAGCTATTTTTATTTCATGATGATTTACTTTCCTTTTAAGTGTCGTAGAACCTGCCAGAATTAAGGTATGCCTCCCCTATTTGGCCTAGGTCTTAGATTTTTAAAACTATTTTTGTAGAAAGCCAAGTAGAACAAAAACACCGATGACAAAAACTGCAGTCCCTTGTCCTTCCCA